TCCGAAACTCTGGTCCGAAAATTTGTCTGAAATTGCTATTTTTGAGCTCTAAAATCCTATTTTTGATACCAATTGATTATGATTATTATAAAAATGATTTTTCACAACAAAAATGATGTTTTTAACAAATTAAAACATTATGTGATGCATGACGGTAAGTTCGGGTGTTAACACTCGAGACTAGGCCGCTAATTGTTATTAAATGTTATGTTGAATGATCATTATGATGAACTATTATTGTGGCCAATTATGAATGATTAACCTACTGATTGGTATGATTATTGATTAAATCATGATTAAAAATGGATATAATAATGATTATGAAAATGATGTATATTGTTAAGGATATCTAGAAGAACTCTAAGATATACCCACTTGTATAATGATGATGATTATTAAGGATATCTAGAAGAACTCTAAGATATACCTCCTTGAACAATTCATATTTCGGGGTTAAAACGTACGTACGGGATCCAGAACGGATATCACCCACCCGACAGTTCACTGTTCGGTTGGTACGTAATCCACATGACTCATAGGGTGGATTATCGATTCTTCTGTTCTGCATTAAACTATTTATAGTTTAAGGGCCTGATTAGAAATGTTGCCTTAGACTAGGAATAATTAAGAGTTGTTATGAAATGATTTGGCCTTAGATTAAGAATAATTTAAGAGCATTATTGATATATTGAATATCAAATGACTTGGAATAAAATATGGAAAATATGATGAATGTTTGAACCATATATTGTATGCATGATATCAAATGGTCGATTATAAAAGTTATGTCGTTGGATAGAGTTTGATAGTCCGATCACAAAGGTGCAAACAGAATTCAATTCGAAGAAAGTTGGATAAAAAAGTGAACCCTAATTGAGACCAAAATTAGTCCCAATCAGGGAAGAGTCGTGAAAATCTTCAATCAGTGCAACCTCCTCCACTATTGATCACGAATTGAAATCCTACGCAGCAGCAACTCATCATCCTATGTCTTCTCTTCCTCTTCACCACTATATAAGGAAGACCTCTTCTTCCCATTTCTTCACCAATCTTTCTAAAGTTAGTATCATTATGTTCCTTGTTGAGTGGAGAGTTCATTGGTGCTTCCTAGAAAGCTTGAGGTCGCTGGAGTTGAGAGTAATCGTCACCAGAAGTTTTGCCAGAAAATTTCCAAAACCTCCATTTAAGCCCAAGGTAAGCCCGTAGATATATCCAGTGATTGAATGTTCGTATAGATCGTTTCTACGTTCATAAACGGTCAGTCGTTTGATTGAGTTTTGTGTTTGACATATTTGAAGAACCAAAAATCATAAACCTGGAAATTGTTTTTAAAACAACGAACTAATGATACCAAAATGATTTATGAACCTTGGAAAACATTTCTATATAGTTTAATCGAAGTTTGGTGACTAAATATGATATTTTCAAAAATGGACTCGAAGGTAGGAGACAATGAAAAGTAATCTTTTTGTAGAATACCTTCGGAGGATCAATCCGAGGGGGTGGATCGATCACTAAAAGTGGATCAATCACCAGCCCTGGATCGATCCCCCGAATTTGTTGATCCAAGCACTTTTCTGAAAATGTTATTTTTGGATCTCTAAAATCCTATTTTTCATACCAATCAATTATGATCAATGTAAATATGATTTATGGAAATAAATGTGATGTTTTTGACAAATAAAATCTTATGTGATGCATGACGGTATGTGAGGGTGTTAACACTCGACACTAGACTGCTATTTGTTATTGAATATTATGATGACTATTATTGAATATTGATTATGATCAAACATTGATGAATATTCTGATTGAATAATAATTATAATGGATAAACCATAATGAAACGCCATTGATGATAAATTCTATTAAATATTTATTATGACAATTAAATGGATGACACGTGTGATTATGATTATATAATGATAATGATCTTATTCTGACGAAATACTAAAATATGGCATTGAATAAATAAACCTTGATTAAATATGTTCGTTTGATTCTCTTGAGTAAATGATGACTATGAATTGACAAATCATGATCCAAAATGAATAGATTGACAAATAAAAAATGGGCTTTTCTCTCGTACCTTTCCAAATGAGAGGGCATTCATACCCCTTCATTAATTAAGTGACATTTGTACTTCTAATACTATTTAATAATACTTAAGCTTAATTAGCAAGTCCCCTTTCATTTTTCAAAATTGCAAGATGGCCTCCAGCTCGATCCAAGCTTAATTACGTACACTAACCTAACTTCACTTATTATTAACTATTACGGAGTACTACGTAATATTTTATTTAATTAGTTCTTATTATTTTACTTTTCATAAATAAATTATTTTATTCAAATATCATTTTTTATTTATTATTTAATTACTTCTCGTTATTTGACTTTTTATAGATTATTATTAATATAGTAAATTCGAAAAAAGGTCTTATACAATACTCCTCCGTTTTATAAACAAGTTCTTCTTTCATTTTTTTTATTTGTTTCTAAAACACTTAAATTTTTGTAAATAATGACTATATATCTAAATTAAGTCGTGTCAATATACTCGTTTCAATTTGCATTGATATAATAAGTCATTTAAATAATTTGTCTATCTTCTTTCTTCGAAAATAATGATATAATTAAAAGGTCAAACTACAAAAATAAATCTCTCCATAATCAAAAAATGAATTGTTTTAGGAAACAGAGGGAGTAAGTGATTCTTCATATTTAGTCCTTAATCCTAAAGTATTACATTCGTCGTATTCAATTTTCAAAAATTATTTCATAATTAGTCCTTTAAACCAAATATGACCAAATATTTTTTTCACGTGCATATAGCCCACAAAAGACTAATTATAGAACAGTTTTAAAACTTGAGGATCACGAATGTAATGTCTAACAATTAGAGACTGTTGAAATATTGGAATAATAATATTGCTTCGTAAATTATGAAATACATGATAGAGTATATATATAAGAGAGACTCCTAACACAACTAGAAACAGATTATGGAAACTACCTAAAATACAACATCTACCATAAATAGTAGTATGAAGCTGACTAATAATCAAAACTACCAAAACCAATACTACCAGAAGTAATATTAGTATTATTGTCTAACAGAGACTGAGTATGAAAAAATCACTAGTTATAAGGGGTTATTTAAAGAATTTACTCTAATTATTATTTACTTTTCGTGATCATTGTTTTATTGATTATTATTTTATGTAATTATTTTTTAACGAAATAAATTAAACGTAGTTGAACGAAATTAGACAAGTTTAATAATTACTGCTTTAGGGTCCGTTCCGTAGGACTTATCTTTTCTACTTATTACTTATTCTTATTAAAATCAGATCAGATCTGATCAGATCAACCAGATCAACCCAGATCCAATCAGATCAGATCAGACCAGATCAAATCCAATAATATCAAATCAAGAAAAAATATAAAAGATAATATTTATAATATTCAAGGATTAAATAATAATTACAATTATTTGATTAAATCACATTACTTTATTTAAAACTACATACACCTAAATCTTAATTAATATTATAATTTTAAATATTATTGTTGTTATATTATTATTTTTATTATTATTACTATTACTATTACTATTACTATTATTATTATTATTATTATTATTATTATACTTCAACTACAAACCATTATTTTAAATAATAGTTTAGCTTGTAGGATAGAAATGATGCATGGAAGCAATGTTAAAGCTTAAAAAGTTTTTTTTTCATACATGAAAAAGAGTTATTTTAAAATACTTGTTTATAAAATAATTATACAAAACTTAGTTTTCAAAACTATAAATATTTTATACTTAAAGAGACTTACTTTTAAACTTTAAGATGGTATAATATACACAAGGCTGAGTTTATGACAAAATTGATAGATGTGAAAGCGATATTAGTATTTAAAATTTTATATGATCTTTAATTCGTAACATGAAATATATTATTTTGTAATATGTATATAGAATGTGATATTTTTATAGAATAGCATCAATATTTTCTAATATTTTTTTATTTTAATACCGATTATTTAGTTTTCACAAAAATTAAAAAAGTTGTGATATTGAAAAGATGTTTAAGATTATAAAAAAAATTAAACATATTAATGATTAGCTGATTTTCTTATACGGAGTATTACTTTTTTTATGTATATATGAATTTTAATACTTTAAAACTCTTAAATTTTGTAAAAATTTTAAGTTTAATTTAAATCAAATTTAAATTCATTTACACCAGATCTAATTAGAGAAAATCTGATTAGATCCAATCATATCAGATGAGACCCAATCAGATCAGATCCAATCAGCTTAGATCAGATCCAATCAGGTCAGATCAGATCCAATCAGATAAGATCAGATCCAATCAGATCAAAATTTCAAAAATTCAGATCAGATTCAATCAGATTAGGCGTACGGAACAGAGCCTTAGTCCCATAAAAATCGACAAGTTTAACTTTTTTACTAAGTGAAAAAAATTTAATTATCAACTAAATATAAATTACTTTGATATTTAATATAAAAAAAGAAATCTTGAGTAAAAAAAGTATGAAAATACCAAAATAGAAGTCTAAGTCTTTTAAGACCAAAATAAGAGTATAATGACAGTGTGTCGTAAGAGTACACATTGGCAGTGTGTTGGAAAATGATGATAATATAATATATAAGTGTGATCAATCAATAATTGGTGATCTGCAATGACACTCTAGTGGCCGACGATGACTGATGAAAGTGTGGTGATGATATTGTGACAGTTACAATATGACAATGTGGTGAGTGTGGCAGTGTGAGTTCCTATTTTGTTCTTAAAAAATTATGACTTATATTTTGGTGTTTTTATAATAGATTTTTACTCCTATCTAGGTTGTTCTTCCATATAAAAATGATATCATTAAATAGGGATTTATTTCACTTCGAAAGTTCTTTAAGGGCAGTGTATTTTATAGTTGACTCTCCAATTTTGTATTTAGATGTTATGATTAAAAATAGAATGTGATGTGTAGATTGAAAAAACTAAAAGAAATCAAAAATTTAAGAATTAAATCCAAAGAATAGATTATAATTATAAATAAAAGGTACTCCGTAAAATCATGAGATTAATTAACCCTTTCCTTTATATATATAAATGAGATTCCAAGCTCTAAGGAGTTGACATATGGAATTGCTAGGAGCTGACATGTGGCATTACTAAGAGCTGACATGTTCATTACTTATGTGACTTTTTTATGCAACGCAATTTATGAACTGAATAAAAAGAAAAGAAAATTATTTTTATGTAGCCACTCCTAACACCTAATAAGTCACATAATTTTCATATGGAAATTATAAAATTAAAAGTTTGGTAAGAAATATTTGATTAAATATAAATATGGGGAAAAAAATTCCTTTTTATAATAATATTCTTTCTAAATTCAATATTTTTTCTCTTTATTTAAAACAAATTTTAGAATAAAATACAAAATACTCTCTTCACCTATAAATAACTTTTATAACTATTTATTATACATTTACTTGAAATTAGTTTTTTGATTAAATTTATTTAAATATTGACATCAAATAAATTGATTTCTTCACCAATAAATAACTTTAATATTTATTTTGACAGCTAATAGTCTAATATGTCACTTAATAAAAAATATATATAAAAAACGTGAAATCAATATTTTGGTTTGAAATCTTTGAATAAATTTAAGTATGCAAATGAAACATTCGTTTTAATGATAATATCCTTTCACAATTCAAAAATTTTTACTCTCTTCTTTTATAATAAAATTTTTAACCAATAGATAAGATGATTTTTAACCTCTAAATCAATTTGATACAAGCTTTTGTTTATGATATGTTAAAACGAAGTTAGTTTTGATTTGATTCATTGAAATATTGATGTAAAATTTAAAACACACAATATATTTTAAAATTTAGATCAAAAGATATATAGAATAAGAGATGACTAAACTATAATTATATTACAATAGAAAAAATACTATGTGTAATTTCATAGTTCGATTATATTGATTTTATGATTCGACTTTATCATATAAAATTTATGGTTTATAGTCCTTAGACTATTTATGATTTAAATTGAAAAATATAATATTCTTAGTCATCTCTTATGAATTATGATGTGATATTTTTAATTAAATTATAGTTAACAATTGATAAAAAAATGTGTTACCAA